GAGAGGGGAGACGTCAGGGCCCCCCACACCCACTGATGCAGGGGGAGAGGGGAGACGTCAGGTTCCCCACACCCACTGATGGCAGTGGGGAGAGGGGAGACGTCAGGGCCCCCCACACCCACTGATGCAGGGAGAGAGGGGAGACATCAGGGCCCCCCACACCCACTGATGCAGGGAGAGAGGGGAGACGTCAGGTTCCCCATACCCACTGATGCAGGGAGAGAGGGGAGATGTCAGGTTCCCCACACCCACTGATGCAGGGAGAGAGGGGAGACGTCAGAGCCCCCCACACCCACTGATGCAGGGGGAGAGGGGAGACGTCAGGTTCCCCACACCCGCTGATGGCAGTGGGGAGAGGGGAGACGTCAGGGCCCCCCACACCCACTGATGAAGGGGGAGAGGGGAGATCTCAGGGCCCCCCCCCACCCACTTATGCAGGGGAGAGGGGAGACCTCAGGGCCCCCCACACCCACTGATGGCAGTGAGGGCAGATGGGAGACATCAGGGCACTACACCCACTGCACGGTGTGTGGGGGAAGAAGGGAGATGTCAGTGCCCCCTCCACACCCACTGCACAGTGTCAGGGGGAAAGGGAGACATCAGGCCCCCTACACCCACTGCAGTGTGTGGGGGAAGAAGGGAGATGTCAGGGCCCCTACCCATTGCACAGTGTTGAAGGGAAAGAGGAGACACCAGGGCCCCCCACATACACCCACTGCACAGTGTGGGGGACAGAGGGGAGACATTAGGGCCCCCCATACCCACTGATGGCGTTGGGGGAGCGGGAAGACGTCAGGGTCTCCCTGCCGACGGTTGCAGCAGAGAAGTCAGAGTCCTCCCAGCTCACTGTGCAGTGTGTGGGGGAGGGGAGCTGTCGGCCCCCCCACATAAAGGTGTGTGTGTGTTGAGTACCACTGCACCTTCCGGTCTGGATGGTGAGTTTGTTTTTTTTAATTTTTTTACTGTGATTTGGATGAAAGTTTACAGAGCAAATTCACTTTTCATACAGCAGTTCACACACACTTTGTCTCATGACATTGACCACAATTTACCCCAATGCAACAGCTCCCCTCCCCCTTCCTCCCGACAGTCACCTCTTCCCTGTGTCCATCCCTCCATGCACTCCTGCCCCCTGAGCTGTCTCCCTGTGCAGAAGCAGCCCTTCTTTCTCCCATGATTGTTTTCTCCCAGTAGTGTATCTACCTCAGGTACATGTTCAACTCATATGCCTGCCTTTTGTTTGGCTG